GTACCCTGTTCCAACATTCTGCTCATTCCAGTTTCTCCAAGAGTAACCCACAACACAGCGTGATTTTGAAAATGTGGCCTAGTGATATGGCAGATGGGAGCCCTTGCCAATTCCAAAACGCTAAACAAGTTGATTTCACGCGAGGTATCTGGAAGATCCGAACAAACGTACTTCGTTCACCATGCTAGCAAATGGTTGAACCACTAATGATGTCCCCATTATGAGCAGCAGATCACACTTGGGAAAATCCTGAAAGCATTGGTGACCGAGATTATCTTCAACTGTACCATAAGCATTATAAATAGACAAACCGAGATAGCACACTGGAAGAAGCGTTTCGGTAAGTTTTCCCCGAAGAAAATTATATCCGGTTTGACAACGCCCTCACACTTGTCGCATCGCGGCACTAGACAATCTTTATCCTTCAGCCGCTCTAAAGAAAATATTCCACAAGGCTTTTGCATACTCAAATAAATTATATTGCTATTCACCTTCAAGCCACTGTAAATCGAACTTTTTACTGCACCTGGTGCACGTGCTCGTGCGATGTGAACCGTGAGCAGTCACAACCTTATCTTCAGGTATTCCAGTTAGGAATTCCAGTGAATCGATGTTCTGTAAAACATGAAAGGCCTACAATTTAGGAACAACTCGAACAAAACTGTCACTGCTAACAAGACAGATTCCAGCTTAACACCATGCGTGAAAAGCAAGTGAAACATTCACCTGTGTAAACCATCTTCTAAGAATTCCTTTCTTTTCGAGGAGCCTCACAAAATAGTGGCACGGAGTTGGCTAAAACACTAGTGATTGCAGAGAGTTGGCCCTTGAAATGTTCTCAACCAAGAAACCTTGAGGTTCTCCGGGAATAGTTCCTTGGATAATGCAAAGAACGGCTCAGGATTCTCATGAAAGAACGAGATGTCGAAGACCGCTTGCGGATCAGGGAGGTTGTATTTCTGCAGATTATTGTAGAGACCACTTCCTGAATGTAAGTAACCTCTATAGTATCACTATTAAGCTGACGCTGATAGTCTACGTGTTAAAACACGTTCATACTTAGCGTTCGGACCTCTCGCGCGACCAGAAGTCGCGCAGTACCACAGAAACTGCTCGTAGACGCGTTCTTATTTGCGAAGGTAAGGAATCCGTAAATCGGGAAATAGTCAACAAAGGATTAGATGGAAATCTATTGCCTCGGCCTACCAGCGGATCCCGCATTCTCCCGAACAGCGGATTCCCCATATATTAGGTTGGCGGGAAAGTTCTGTCACATTTTTTCAAATTACGCTTTTTTATAGAGAGGCGTGTAAGATCAAAATTATACAGCAATGTTACTGCGGGGTTCTTGCCAGTTTTTGAGCACCTCATGGATGCCATCGCTTCACAATGCAGGCCGGCGCGACGCAAAGTTGGACATCCTCAATTTTGACTTGGGCTCGGGTCGTGGAGGTTTTCTCGTCCATATAACGGTTGAGTACGGGAGGCAACTCGCAGTTAGAAGGAGCAATGTCTGGGCTACACCAGTGCAAGGGGAGAGCCATCCAGCTCTATTGCATGAGGTACGGCTCGAACTTTTTGGACGGAGTGCGCTGCACTATCATGATGAGGGCGGGCTGTGCGGACAAATTTTTCCCTCTGATCGACGGTACGCTTTAGATCTCGTAGCTGCTTTGCGTACGCATTGACCGAGGAAGCAGCTTCTTCATCCAGCACTTTCACGACCCGCAGCTCCCTCAATCTGAGTTCACAGGTAACCCAAACCTCACTTCGTCATCAAAACTGTAGGCTCCCGCTTTGAAGCATTAGCGTCGTGGAAGGTTGTCCGATAATTGAGGGCATCGTCCTTATTCAGCTCCATTATTTTGGCATCTGCAGCTATCATGCTGGCGTCAGGGTGGTGGAAGAAAGAGTTTGAGGAAGCGCTTGGAGGGGTCGGTGCCGATGGTAGCGGATAACATTCTTGTCCATATTGCAGAAGAAGAAGCAGGAGTCAAGCGAGTGGTACTAATAGAAAGACCACTCCTTGATGTATAAGTGCTCACATTACCGGTTACCCCTCTTCAGGTAATGGGCAAGTATTTTGAGTTCGAAAAAGTGTGACAGAACTTTCCCGCCAACCTAATAGATTCGTGTAATTTTCCTAATCACGGACAGGGCACATCATCGTTGGAAATTCCAACAATCGTATTTGGTCTGAGAAAATTTTCTGATAATCGATTCTTCGTGTTTCACGTTTACTGTGAGGAAGGGGGGCTCGCATTTGCTCGCTGTTGGGAGAATGGGTGGATCGTACGGACTCGACCAAACCACTCCCCCCTCCAACCAATGATGTGCCCTGATCGTGGATTCTTTGCATTCGCTAATAAGGACGCGGCGCTATTACAGCCTTCGTTTCACGGCAAGTACTTTTAAAAAAGAAGTAGTACAATACCTGGGCTTCTAAAGTCGGGTATCCCAGCAGAAGTCGAGATGCCAGCTCCAGTCATCACAATCACATTGCTGGGATGTTCCGTTTTTATGAAATCAGCTATGCCTTCCAAGGTGAACGATTTGAGTTTTGATTTCGTTACGCAGTGTCCTTCTGAAACACATTGAGAACTGGCATCAAACACGATTTTCGAGGAATCTTTATAATTGACAAAATGCGTCGCCCCGCAAATTGTGACCTGCAACGCCGTGAATTATGATCGGCGACAAGGCTGAAAAGGCCTTCATTGGCTTTATCATTTCACGCTGACTGGTAGAGCTGCTAGCAACCCAGAAAACAAAAGAACTGAAATAATTACCTGTCTCCTGTTAGAATTGATGCAGAGACACTATCCAGATTTTTCCTATGGGAATTAAAGCTCTAGTCAATACAAGGAACAAGAAACCATCCATACCTGAGCCTGACTTTCACCGCATTGCTCACAGTGCTTGTGACCGTATTGAGAGCATTTTCAAAGCTTTCTACGAAGCGTCTATAAAGATCATGCTTCGGAGGCGCCTTCTCTTCATCGGATTTCTGCTCTTCGTCACTGTCCTTGCTTGATCCTGCCTTCCTGTTTCGAGCATTCGCATCTTCTGACATACTGCAAAAGAAAAATTGTGAGGAAAATGTCTTCTCAACAATAAGAGCTGTTGGTGGATCGGTTACTAGGACGCATCCGTGGCTGTGCCTTGCGGCAGTGAATCGAATCACGTTAGTAAACAGCTTCATGTGGCAAATGGGACCCTGTCATTTGGGAGTCGGGCAAGAGAATCGTAAATTGCCGCTTCGTCGCGCGCGGCAATGGGCGCGACGTTTCCTTAATTTGCACTACCCTTTCGAAATAAGCATCGGATTTCACGCGACAAGCACATGGTGACGCTTACGTCAATTTTTAGTCATACATAGTCTAGTGTCGACCAATACCATCTAAATCGTCGTCATTAGCCGGCGCGACGTCGCACGCGATACTCACTGGCGCGGCAAATCACGATTCTCTTGCCACATACCAATGTCATTTGATTGTAGTTCAGAGTTCGTTACTCTGGAGTAACGAGTTGTGGCGAAAGCGATGTTGTAAGCAGGTTGTTTTGCGCAGGATTAGCACTAGGGTGCAATCCACTCAACTGGCAGCCTCTTACGACCCACTGTGTAGGAAAGCGTGTGAAGCCGCAACTCGGAGGTAACGTTAGGCACCCCAGTTAAGAACATCCAAGGCGTTACATCGCACAAAGAAGCAGATCAGTATTTATTTAGTTGAGCACAATCACGCAGCAGCACGTCTGCATCTTCCTAACCAGGGCCCAGGCTAAACGTTGAAGCAGAACGACCACAGTCATCGCAGGCTGCTTTCGCAAAACAAGCAGTCTCCAGGCGACTTTAATCGCTTCTGTTCTTTTCCCAAGTCCCCATTAGGGGAAGAGACGTGGAAGGGCTGCTGCATGGAGAGCACAGTCATGTTAGTACCGTAATTCAAGAAGAGGCGTCGCTTCTCCGCACTTCTAGTCATTTTTAATGACCTCTCATCGGCTAACATAATAAGAGCGTCTACGCGATCGATATGCTTGATTCCCAACATCTTTTTCCTTTCGGGTTTACAAGCATCACAACCGAAACCTACAGACACACTGCATTTAAATCTTATATACCTACACACAGCATATAGATTAAACTTGCTAACAGCTTCAGGTGGCGAGGGCGCAGACAGCACGCGTGTTTCCTCAAAGAACACACATTTCCCATACACACACAGCAGCCTATCGTGCTCGCAGCCTACATGAACCTTGCTTTCAATATCGAAAAGACTACACACCTATTGAAACTATTCACGAAAATCAATAGGGAAACGCACAAGACCAAGGGTACCATCGTGGTTCATCGATTTTGCGAAAAGTTACAACTTAAGCAGTTGTAAAGATGTAGAATACTATTGCTGATTCCAAATCGTGACTGGACGGTGAGAGAGTTTCTGAAGGCGGCAGCGCAATATTGCGGGAGAGAGGGGAGAGGGGAGAGGGGAAGGGTAAACGCGGCAGCGCGTGCCCGCCCTCCACCACATCGTTCATACTTCGCGATGACGCTCGTGGTCACGCTACCGAGGAAAACGGCTTTCAGGGCAATTCGACGCCACGTGCGGGACAAGCTGCAAATACAGATGGCTCTTAATGTGGCGCACGCTCGTGATATATTCACTGATGTATTTGGAAACATATTGGAAGATCAAATCATGCAAAAAAAGGCAGGGAAATGTCTTTGGTGTCTACCAACTTTCCGCGCCCGCGCCCGTTGTCGCATGCGACTCTCCGGAATACGCCTTCTACTCCAGAAAATGGGGTACTTTGGATTCCTGCAAGCAGATCTCCAGGTACATCCAGGTTGCAATGACTCCATGGTTTTCTGTTCCAGGTTGTGTTTCCGGTTGTTTCTGAGAACGAAAACCTTCACGAAAACGGACAGTGAAACAACTGTGATGGGGACACTCAGGGATTGTAACTCGAATTAATTGAACATCGAAGCAGAATAACTTCACTCCTCAGGAGCATTCAGTCTCGGTGTCTTAAAAACCTCAGAAATCCATAGCAAATGCCTTTTACTTCAAGAATGGCAAATGGGTACGAAACACCTATGCGCAAATTTATTAGCGATTTGCACGTGATCTTCAGCTGATCGGCAAAAGAACGGAGGGTTTGCTCGACAATATCGGAAATAACAGGGTAAAAAAACGCAACCAACCCGTAACGTATTGAAGGCGCCTAGTGAGAAATCATCACAAGCTGAAACAGGACGAGTTGCATCGGCAGCGCACTGCTTGTCGGTCCCGACACGAAGTATCGACGTCAGTACGAATGTTCTTGAAAATCTCGCCGACGTCAGCTGATTTCGCTCGGGACGTTCTTTCCCCGAACCTTTTGATACTGGGTGTGGTCTACTTGCGTCCTTCTCTTCGTTACCAGTAAGACGAACGGGTTTTTGCTTTGCTGTCTCTCTTCCTAATTTTACACTTTGTAGGGTCGTCGATAGAGATGTTTCCTCGGATGTGGTTGGTTTTTCTCCTTTATCATGTATTCCTCTAACGAAAAGTTTGTCCATTCATAACAACGCATGCGTTTGCACCAATTAACCGACAAGAAGGCACTCCAGTCGTTAACTTCTCCTTCGGCCGTTTCTTCGGTGTTCGGTTGTAGGAATTTCTACTAAGATTTGATAAATTATTACGGGTAGAAGTCGTTCGTGAATGCGACGGCTAAAATCTCCCATGCGCGCTCCTTTTTTCGGCTGCTTTAGCCGCTTTTCGTATTAGAGGCTGCTAAGTAAAGCCAGCAACTTGCAAATGCATGTATCGATTGGGAGCTGCTAATCCAAACGGTACCAGCATCAGCCGCGGCTCACGCTCCTTTAGCTGCTAAGCCTCCTGAACGCTGGTGACTAGTTTAGCGCTGTTTTTCGAAAGGATAATATCACCTGGTCGGCTTACATCTTGTTTTCATTTGACCCAAGCGCTAATCACAGAGATTACTGGTCGCATAAATTCAGGTATCCACTCTTCTTTTTGGAAAGGCTTCCTTTTTTCACCATGTACGGCTCTCCATAAACGTTGGAATTGTGTTGAGTGTGAAGTGCTCTGCTTCAACTCTACACGCTGTTGATATGGCGCTAAGGCATTGTTCACAGTCTGCGGTCCAGCGTTTCTCTGGAACGCGGCGGTTCGGCGAAAAGCTTTCGATACGTATCGACTGGCGGTTGGGCGAAAGGGTTTTGATACGAATCGACGGGCGTTTCGCCAAACCGCGACGTTTTTCGCCTTCGACGAAACGCTAGCTCGATCGCCGTGGCGTTTTTCGCCAGCGAAATCGATACACATCTATTGCTTTTCGCCCAACCGCCGAACCGCGGCGGTTCGGCGAAACTAGCGGTTGGCGATTCTCCGATCGATGACTATTTTTTGCTTTTCTCCCAACCGCCGTTTCGTCAGGGTCGCAGACTGTGAACAATGCCTAAGTTGGGAGGGGCTACGCGCTGCGCGGCGAGCGATGACTCATCTGCTCTGCTCCCTCGGCAGAATAGAAGTAATTGCGTTAAAACAGTTAACGCTGAAAAGTGCAAAGAGACAGTTTTTAGGTTGCAAGGTTCTTGCCCAAACTACAAAATTTATGTTGTGAGTTTGTCGTTGACTGTTATTGGTGATTACAAAAAATCAAATTTTCAGCTCCTGTGGAATTCTTCAGCAAGTTCCCGGTGAATCTTGTTTGTTTTATCCTGATTTGGCTGCTAGATTCCGTTGCAAGTATGCCGATGAGTCATCACTCGCCGCGAGCCGCGTGGCCCCTCCCAACCACGTTAGCACCGTTGATATAATGTACTTCGCTGCGGACTGTTGGGCGTGTCAGACGGAATGGGTTTGGCGCGGTGCTAAACCCGCTCACCACAGTTGTTGAAGCGAAAAATGACAATACCATTCGTATTATCCGTTTTCGAGCACTTTTGTCGCATACGCGCCTCAACAAGAAGGCAGAGAACGGTTTTGACGGCGTGACACATTTAACTGCCTGACACGCCCAACTCTCACCGAACTGGAGGGTAGCACAATTTCACTGGCTTGAGTTTCGGCGGCAGGTGCGGCGAGTCCGTTACAGAGCCTGAAAGGGAGTCGATAACAATTCATCGAACCTATCGGTATCTACCGTGGGGCCAACCTGAGAAGTTCGGGATTGATTGTTGACGATCACCAGCTAATTGTAGGAAGGCCACTTACCGGCAAATAGTCTGATCTTGGATTCCACCTAACCGGCAGTAGGATCGCGCCGAACTGTTCCTCATTCAGCATCACTATTGGAAGGTCACCCTTACATAAGGCAGCGTTCAGACCGATGGCAGCGTTCGATCGTGCGTTCGATGCATTCGAAAGCATGTGTATCGATCGCGCCGGACGCGCGACCGAGGCGCTGCCGTCGCGAAGTCTGAACGCTGCTTAAGCTCTTAGCTCCCGCGTTGTTGTGAAGCATATGTTCTACTAATTTC